AAGATCATCAATCCTCGGAAGAGGATACTTGTTCTTGATGGTAACCTTGTTCAATTGGCGATAGTCTATACACATTCTAAGGGAACCATCTTTCTTTCTCACAAACAAGACCGGAGTGCCCCAAGGTGAGACACTTGGTCGAATGAAGCCCTTATCTAATAGATCATTTAACTACTATTTCAACTCTGTTGATACCATTCTGTATGGCGGAATAGAGATAAGACGAGTATCTGGAATGATGTCTATACCAAAGTCTATTTTCTCTCTCAGGAGGGACTCCGGGTAGGTCATCAGGAAAGACTTCTGGAAACTGTTTTACTATATGAACTGACGGAACGGGAGGTACCTCAACACTTGAGTCATTAACTCGGACTATGTGATAGATACAACCCTTCAAAACTAACTTTCTCGCCTTAAGGTACCTAATGAAAGGACCCTTAGGCACTGCTGAACTACTACTCCACTCTATGACTGGCTCATTAGGAATCTGAAATTTGACAACTCTAGTTCTACAATCTATTGATGCATAACAGGTATGAAGCCAGTCCATACCTAGAATGACATCGAAATCTACCATGTCTAACTTAGCTAGATCAGCCATGGTGTCTTTGTGATTGATGGAAATGACACAATCATGATAAACTCGCTCAACTAGAATAGACTCCCCAACAGGTGTAGAAACACAAAAGGGTTCACAAAGTTTCTCAGGAAGAACATTAAACTTAATTGCAATGTAAGGGGTTACAAAAAATAAACTTGCTCCTGGGTCTAGCAAAGCATAAACATAAAAAGCAAAGACTTTGATCATACCAGTAACAACATCTGGAGAGTTCTCTTGCTCTTGACGACTGGTGATTGCATAGAGGCGGTTTGCCCCTCCGCTAGTACCAAAAGTAGCTCCCCCAGGTGCAGCCCTGCCTGGTGGAGCAACTGATGAAAATTGGGACCTATTGCCCTAATTTCCACTACCTTGCCTGTTCTTTGGGCACTCTTTCAAGAAGTGACCCTCTTGTCCACAATTGAAGCAACCTGTCTGGCCCTCACGACATTTACCTGGGTGGGTTCTACAACACTTAGCACATGCAGGAGCCCAATTACCTCCTTGTGCCATACTAACCTGAGACTGTGCAGGTCTAGCTCTGAAGTTCTGTGAATTCTGACTATTATACTCGACTCTGTTTCTGGGTGCAGGTGCACTAGCAGATGATGGAGCAGGTCCCTTTTGTCTTTGCTGAAAGGATGAACAGTTCATAATACCTTTCTGCTGCCCGGACTCATTTCCTATCTTAGCTTTCTTATTTCTGAACTCTTCCCTGTCCTTCAACTTCTCTTCCTCAACCTGCTGCACATAAACCATCAACCTTGATATGTCCATGTCCCCGATAAGCATTGCAGCCTCCTCCTTCCTCGACAGACGAGACAACCCAGCAACAAACAAGCTCATTCTACTTCTCATGTCCTTAATCATCTCCGGAGCATAACAAGATAGTTGGGTGAACTTCAACCCATATTCATGAACACTTAGAGAATCTTATTTAAGTGTGAGGAACTCACGTACCTTGGCCTCTTTCAGTTCTCGGGGAAAGAAACGCCCCAAGAAAACTTCTTCAAAACATGCCTAACTCGCAGGTGGTGCATCCTCAGCTCTACCCCCTTTCCAATGATCAAACCAAGTCCTAGGAACATTCTTTAGTTGATATGAAGCTAGTTCAACACGCTCAGTATCTGCCACATGCATCACATCAAATACCTTCTTCAGCTCCTCAATAAAGTTCTCTGGATCCTCGGTAGTGCTCGAACCCGTGAAACTTAGAGGGTTCATCCTCAAGAAATCACGAATCCTTGAAGTGTGAACCTCTTCTTGTCGAGCTCCTCTCTTCTGCCCGACTTGGTTGGTCACAACCTGACTCAACATCCGGATAGCCTCACGGAACTCAACATTGGTGACTTCGCCTTGAGGTTGCACCTCAGGTGCATTTGGTAACTCTTGCTCCTCAACATTATTCCTAGCAGGACGACCTCTGATAGCTCTTTGTGGAGGCATGATTATCTGAAAACACGCGCAAGCATGAATTAGAAGAAACTTTTTAGAGATCAAACTCTAACTCATGAAAAAAGTGAGAAATTTTCCTAAATGTTGCAGCCTCCTAATTATAGATGTGGAGCGCTTCACACCAATAACTAGGACTGTACAGACATGACTTCATAGACTCCCCAGGACTCTTGAGCTTTGTGCTCTAATACCAAGTTTGTCACTCCCCGAGCCTACACCTTGGACGGAACTGGCACTCGAGAACCATTACTGCCCTAAGCGAACCCTTGGCCTGGCTTACTTAACTCATCAGAAGACTCTAAGCATAATTACAATGATCAAATGAACTTACTCAAATAGCTTAATAGTATAACTTAGAATGTTAGAAGAATTAAACATTCAACTTGGCCAAAATGGCAACCCAAGTCTCATAGCAAAACATCTGCAATACATAGATGAGAGACTCATAACTAATTGTCTGACTGTCTATGAAGCCTCTATAATACTGAGATGGATGTTGGGACAGACCACGCAATATCCTAATAAAATAAAACTAAGAGAACAAAATAACCGAGTCCTCCGGAATGCAAAGAGGCTCACCAC